CGCCCTGACACCACCGCCGGCCTGAGTTACAAACGCCTTTTCTAACTCAGGCCCTGACACAGATGCCGATGCCTGTTTTTCGTGCCTTGAGGAACTCAAAACATGCCGCGTCCGCCGTTGTTTCTACTATTTCTTAAACAACCCGAGGTAATGTCAGGTGTGCTGATAAGAGCAGGCACCACTGGCACTCTCGGGGTGGCTCCATCTATTGGTGGGGAGCGTCCCGCGTCCCATTGTACATACAAAAGGAGTTGCATGATTGGCTTTTGTTGTCCACTGTACCGTACGATTCTGTATAAGACAGTGTTAGAGATTTTTAGAATGTTTTGTTGGGGATTCCAGGGGTTCTGAGCATTCAAAGGGCTTCTGTGGCTTTCCGTTTTGACTTAGAGTTGGACCCCACAGGAAAAAAGGATGGAAAAACCGTCCGGCCAAAAAAAACGGGCAAAGAATTTTGGAAAGCTGGAAAGCAGTTCTGCGGGGACCCCACCGCGGAGGACCCAATGCGCCGTGGAAACCCTTTGGGAATCAGTTGAGCCAATCGTTGCCTTTCTCTGTGCACTCATTTTTTTTTTCTTGTTTTCTTTGTTTTTCCTTTTTCTTTTTTGTGGCACTCTTGGTCGCTATTGGCTGCTGCCTCCCGTGAGACTTTTCCAAGACCTTTCCAGGACAGACACACCCTCCCCCCTACCCTGTAGAGCTGGCACAAAATTGGGGCAAGGAATCCTCCCGTGAGACCTTTCCAGGCTGCGGACTATGTGAAAACAGAAAACTACGTTTTTCCAAGCCGCAATCTTCGGTCTGGGAAAACGGTTTGCGGGAGAAATTTCACCTTTCCGTGGACATCTGCTGCAGGCTGTGGGGTCCTGGAAACAGTTTTGCGGCAAAGTTTTTCCTTTCCACGGTCCTGTGGGGTCCAACTCTTAGTAAGTGCTGCTTGAGTAGCCCAGCAATAGGTCAGCAGTTATCCAGGTTTTTCCTAAATTTTCTAGAATCTGTTTCATAGTTCTCAGATTGTTCTTAGCTGAAACCAGGTAATGGTCCTGGTATTTCAAATCATTTGTATAATTCTATATGGGACCCTGGGCCCGGTTCCCAGCACGTGTTGCTCCCCACGAATAGACAGGAGCATTTGTCCCAAAAAAAAAAAAAAAAAAAAAAAAAACGATTCTGTATCTGACAAGGATCATCACTTGTATACATTCAAGTCCACATGGAGCCCTTACAGAATATGAAAAGGAAACGGCATTGCCAAGCTCTGAACGATCCTTTTCTCTTCTCTTTCTTTTTTCGCGTCATTGGGCTTCGCTGCACTACGCTAGACACATGAAAATATTCAAGAGTGTGTCTAGCGCTGTCAGACTCCCGGATCGGCCTCAAGTGCTGTCGTCGCTGCACTTACTCTGGACTCTAGAGTATCGTGAGCATTCTTGACTGTCGGACAGAAGTTCACGAAACTGAAAAGACACTACAAGACAGGGCAGCGACGATTTTGTCCACCGATACTGGAGGCCAACTCTCGAATTTGCAAACTGCACGAAGGGTCCGGTCGGCCTCCTTTGAAAAATCGCCCCTGCAGGCGGGAACTGTGGAAGCTTCAAGAGCTTGTCTGAAGGGCCGTTTCTGACACCTCTTGAAGCGCCGGATCGTGACCACTT